ATGGGATGGTCACTCTGGGACTGTGTTATAGACCTGCAAATAGCCAGCGGGTATGAGAGGAGCAGATGTGCAGAGAGATTGCAGATACCTGTAGGAATAATAGAGTAGTATTGGTTGGAGATTTTAATTTCCCCTGTATTGACTGGGCCACCCAGAATGTAAAAGACCTGGACGGGGTGGAATTTGTCAAATGTGTCCAAGAAAGATTCCTAAATCAATTTGTGGAGGGCTCTTCTCTGGCCGGTGCAACACTGGACCTCCTCTTAGGAAATGAGATCAGGCAAGTGACTGAAGTGTCAGTCAAAGAGCACTTTGAGTCCAGTAACTATAACTCTCTTAGTTTTAACATAGTTATGGAAAAAGATAGAACAGCTCCACAGATTAAGGTACTGAACTGGAGCAGGGCCAATTTTGGGACCATTAGACAGGATCTAGCAGAGGTCGATTGGGTGAGTCTGTTTGAAGGAAAATGGAATGACTAGCAAATGGGAGACTTTTAAAAGTGTGATACCAAGAGTCTGGGGACAGCGTGTCCCTATTAGGGTGAAAAGAAAAGCTGGCAGGTTTAGGTAACCCGGGCTGACAAGGGATATTGAAGCTCTGGTCAGGAAAAAGAAGAAGACACACATTGGGTTTAAGCTATTGGGCACGAGTGAATCTCTGGATGACTATAAAAAGTGTAAGAGCACATTTAAGAGGGAAGTCAGAAGAGCAAAAAGAGAGTGTAAGATGGATCTAGCAGATAAGGTTAAAGATAATTCCAAGAGGTTTTATAGCTAAATTAAGAGTAAAAGGGTGGCTACGGTGAGAATAGGTCTCCTTAAAGATCAGTATGGCCGTCTATGTGTGGAGCCGCAGGAGATGGGGGAGATTTTTAATGAATACTTCTCCTCAGTGTTTACTGAGGAGAGAATCATGGATGCTAAGGAAATAAGGGAAACAAGTGGGCATGTTTTGGACCACAAACATATGACCAGAGAGGAGGTGTTTTCGGCTTTAAAGTGCATTAAGGTGGATAAATTCCCAGGGCCTGACCAAGTCCATCCTTGGACGTTGTGGGAAGAAATTGCAGAGGCTCTTGTCGAGATTTTTGTTTCCCCTTTAGCCACTGGCGAAGTTCCGGAAGACTGGAGGGTGGCTAATGTTTTTTTCATTGTTTAAGAAAGGTAGCAAAGACAAACCAGGGAACTACAGGCCAGTGAGCCTGATATCAGTGGTAGGCAAGTTATTGGAGAGGATACTAAGGGACAGGATCAACCAACATTTGGATTGTCAAGATCTGATTAGGGCTGGTAGGCATGGATTTATGCACGGGAAGTCATCTCTGATAAATCTTTTAGAGTTTTTTGAAGAGTTAACCAAGAGGATAGATGAGGGTAGGGCAGTGGATGTTGTCTGTGTGGACGTTAGTGTGATCTTTGACAAGGTTCCTCATGGGATCCAGGGAGAGCTAGCTAATTAGATTCAAAATTGGCTCGATGGTAGGAGGCAGCGGGTGATGGTTGAAGGTTGTTTCTCGGGCTGGAAGCCTGTGACTTTCTGTGCTGGGACCTTTGTTATTTGTTATTTACGTAAATGACTTGGATGTGAATGTACAAGGCACGATTAGTAAGTTTGAGGATGATAATGCAAAGTTAGAAGGTATCGTTGATAGCAAGAAAGGTGATCAAAAATTACAGAGGGATCTTGATCAGATGGAGAAGTGGGCTGAGGATTGGCAGATACAATTCAATACAGATAAGTGTGAGATGTTGCACTTTGGAAAGTCAAACCAAGGTAGGACTTATACAGTAACTGGTAAGGTCCTGAGGAGTATTATCGAACAGAGGGACCTAGGAGCACAAGTACATAGTTCATTGAAAGCAGCGTCACAGGTAGACAGGGTGGTAAAGAAGGCATTTAGCATGCTAGCCTTCATCGGTCGAGGCATTGACTATAGGAGTCGGGACATTATGTTACAGTTGTATAAGTCATTGGTGAGGCCGCACTTGGAGTATTGTGTACAGTTTTGGTCACCCTTTGATAGGAAAGACACAGTTAAACTGGAAAGTGCGCAAAGAAGATTTATGAGGATGTTGCCAGGAAAAGTAGGCCTGAGTTATAGGGAGAGGTTGGCCAGGATAGAACTTTATTCCTTGGAACGTGGGAGAACGACGGGTGAACCTGTTGAGGTATTTAAAATCATGAGGGGCATAGATAGGATGAATGCATATAATCTTTTCCCCAGGGATGGAGAATTGAAAACTAGAGGGCATAGGTTTAAGGTGAGAGGGGAATAATTTAAGAAGGACCTGAGGGGCAACTTCTTCACACAGAGAGTGGTGCGTATATAGAATGGCATGCCAGAGAAAGTGGTTGACGCAGGTACAATAGCAATATTTAAAAAATACATTTGGATAGGTCCATGGATGGGAAGGGTTTAGAGAGTGATATGGTCCAAATGTAGGCAGTTGGAACTAGCTGAGTGGGCACCATGGTCAGCATGGACCAGTTTGGGCTGAAGGGCCTGTTTCCATGCTGTATTACTCTATGACTCTATGATACTGTGTGCAATTTTGGTTGCTACACTAAAGGTAGACTGAGATTGCATTGGAGGAGCTACAGAAGAGATTGACGAGGATATTTTTTTCTTTGGTTTACTTGGGGGACATGCATATCACTGGCTAGGCCAGCATTTATTGCTCATCCCTAGTTGCCCTTGAGAAGGTGGTGATGAGCTGCCTTCTTGCACCAATGCAGCCATGAGCTGTAGGTAAACCTACTGTGCCTTTAGGCAGGGAATTCTAGGATTCAAGTGACAGTGAAGGAAAGGTGATATGTTTCCAAGTCAGGATAGCAATTGGCTCAGAGGGGAACTCTGTTGTGGTGGTGTCCTCATCTATCTGCTACCCTTGTCCTTCTAGATGGAACTGAGCTTGGGTTTGGAAGGTGAGTCTTGGTATCCTTGGCAAATTTCTGCAGTGTATCTTGGAGATAGTAATAGCAGTATGTACTGAATGACGGTGGTGAAGTGATTGAAGGTTTTTGGATGTAGTGCCAGTCAAGCAGGCTGCATTTTCCTGAGTGGTGTCAAGCTTCTTGCATATTGTTGGAGCTGCAGTCATCTTGGCGATTTGGGAGTATTCCATCATACTCCTCACCTGTGCCTTGTAGATGGTAGACAGGCTTTGGGCAGTCAGGGGGTGAATTACTCGCTGCAGCATTCCTAACTAGCCTCTGACTTACTCTTGTACCACTGTATTTATGTGACACGTCCAGGTGAGTTTCTGTTCAATTGTAACCCCAGGACGTTGATAGTGAGTGTTTCAGTGACGGTAATGCCATTGATTGTCAAGGGGCAGTGATTAGATTGTCTCTTACTGGTGATGGCAATTACCTGGAATTTGTGTGGCACCAATGTTACATGCCAATTTTCAGTGCAACCTGAATATTGTCAAGGGCTTGTTACATTTTTATATGCACAGTTTCAGTAGCTAAGAAGTTGTGAATGTAGCTGAACATTGTGCACTCATTGGCAAACATCCTCACTCATGATGGAGGGAGGGTCATTGATGAAGTAGCTGAAGATGGTTGGACCTAGGACACTACCCTGAGGAACTCCTGCAGAGATGTCCTGAAACTGAGATATCTAACCTTCACTGACCACAACTATCTTCCAATGTGCCAGATATGACTCGAAACAGCAGACAGTCTTCCTCGATTCCTAATGACCCCAGTTTTGCTATGGCTGCATGATGCCATGCTTGGTCAAATGCAGCCTTGATATCAAGGGTTGTTACTTTCACTTCATGTCTGGAATTCATCTCTCTTGTCCATGTTTGAACCAATGTTCTCATGAGGTCAGGAGCTGAATAACTCGGGCAAAACAAAGTTATTTTGAGCAGATGCTGCTTGATAGCACTGCTGTTGACACCTTCTATTGCTTTACCAATGACTGAGAGTAGACTGTTGGGATGGTGATGTGTTGAGCTCGATTTATCCTGTTTATTTTTGTGCAGGACATACTTGGGCAGTTTTCCACATTATCAGGTAGATGCCAGTGTTGTAGCTGTACAGGAACAGCTTGGCTAGGTGTGTGGGAAGTTCTGGATCAAAAGTCCTCGGTACTATTGCCAGAGTATTGGCAGGGTCATAACCTTTGCAGTATTCAGTGCCTCTAAACATTTCTTGATATCATGTAGCGTGAATCCAACTGGCTAAAGACTGGCATCTGTGATTTTTTAATGCTGGGGACCACTGGAGGAGGTTGAGAGGGATAGTCTACTTTGCAAAAATCTTCAGCCAGAATTGCTTATGCTTCAGCCTTTTCTTTTCCATTTGATGTGTATTATTGAGGATGGGGTATTTGTGGAACCACCTCCTCCAGCGAGTTTTTCATTGTCCACCACTTTTCACAACTAGACATGGCAGAAGTGCAAAGCTTATATCTGATCTGTTGGCTATGAATCATTTTGTTCTTGCATCACTTGCTGCTTATGCTATTTGGCATGCGAGTAGTCCTGTTTTTAGCTATGCCAGGTTAACACATTTTTCTTTAAGGTATGCCTTGTACTATTCTTGACATGCCCTTCTCTACTCTTCATTGAACCATTGAAATCTTGGCATGATGGTAATGCTAGGATATGGAATATGCTGGACCGTGAGGTTGCAGTTGTGTTGGAATACAATTTGGCGGCAGCCTCATGATTTCCCAGTCTAGAGTTGTAAGTTCTGTTCAAAGTCTTAACTCTTTAGTATGGAGATAGTGCCATACATGATGTCTGTGTAAAGTAATCTAATAGAAAATACTTTGTAATTTAAACATGACTATCTCTGCACTGCAAATTGCTATTTTAGTGGTTCAAGATTCCTTGGTTGGAATTAGTTGTTGCTGTATGTCTCAACTGGGTTTTACTTTATAAATAAATTTTTCCTTCTGGTGTTGTGCCAAAATTACAGCTAATTGTTTATTCACGTGAAAATGCTCAAAAACATTTAGAATTTTTCTTTCCTGTTGTCAGTTATCATTCAAAACAGCGGAAAGTTGTACAGAAAGACTGGGATAGTAAGAAATCAACACACAAAACAATGGGTTTGCCGAAAGTTGAGCCTCCTTGTCCAAAGCACCATCTGTTGAAGCATTCCAAGGAACAAAAGCTACCAGAAAGTAAGTCTCTGCAAAATATTTCCTTATTTCCAATACCTTAACTGTATACTAAAATTAATATTCTTTTTAGAAAGGTCATTCACTTTGAAGTAGAGAATTGCTTTCGTGGGATTCTAAACCACAGATTAGTAATTTCTCCATGAGCTGACCCACAGCATGCTGTTTTCACCGATCAGCTTTAACAGTTGGAAAACCACAGACTGTAATCTACTCTCTATTAGTAGTGTCAGCATGGATTTAGTCCACAAGCTACAGAGTTGGCTGACATTTAATTTCATTCATTCATGGTAAAACAACTGAGGCTAGAAATTAATGCCCACTTTGACTGTCAGTATTTATTGAAGTGTTGTTCTTCATTACTCAGTCTGGAAAACATGATGACAGCTTTCAATTTTTACTGGGCATGTTGCATTTACATTGTATGCACAAGCTGATTTTCTTCTCCATGTGTTATTATTCTTGCAGGATATCAAATAAAGTCTGATACTATTCCTATCTGTGGCGTTTACATTCTGGACACAGGGCAAAGGCTCAGGAATTTGGAATAGTGAGGGCGAATGGAAACTGTTTGGAGGAGAGGAGAAAAATGGGAAAAGGTGTGAGAATGACTGCAGAATGGGATTTACCATTGAAGAGAAGGGAATGGGATGAGGGAAGAAAGACTCTGGAAATAGGGACGAGTGAAGAAAGGAAAAATGAATTGAAGATCAGGGAGACCTGGAGCCAGGGTATAGATATATGGAGCCAGGAGAAAAAATTGCAGCGATTGTTGGAGCTTGCAGTCAATAGAAGGGAAAATGGCGAGAGGATGTAAGTGTGGGAACATGGTTATTGAGAGGAGCAAAGACAACAAATCAATCATTTAGCCACTTGAGGCTTTTATTCTGTTAAGTGAGGTCAATGATCTGTGACCTAACTCATTTACCCCACCTTTTAAGAAGTAGAGGAGGTCTCACATGAGAGAGTGAGGAAGAGGGTGTCTGGTGAATTGGAGCATAGAACAGAAAGAAGGAGGGTTACCTTCAAGAGATTAGGGTGGGCAAGAGGGTGACTGAAATGTGATTGGGCTTATTTCTCAAGGGAGAATGGAGAGGTACTGGCGCTCAGGTGAGGAAAGAGCAAAGCTTAGAAGTTGGTTTGTGGGAAATAGAGACAATGGTTCAGAAAATTGAATAACAGAAGGTTCGGAACTCAAAATGGGAGGAGTGAAGAGAGATGCAACAGTGAAATGAGGTTGATGTCGAAACCAGGAATTTTTTGCTGAGGCAGCACCATAATGAGCATGAATAATACCAAGAGAAGGGCAACCAAAGGTGAATAACACCTGGAGGCTTTACTATGCATAAATAGATTCCTCTCCCATGTGACAAATGGAGCAAAAGGATGGAGACTGAGGATCTAATTGGAAGAACCAAGGGACAAAGTTGCTTTTACCACTGAGGACAAATAGACCAGAAGATGTTATACCATAGTGGCTATTGAGATAGACTCTAGAATGTCATTTAAAAGGGATTGGAATAAATATTTAAATGGGAAGTATATGTAAAGGTCTGAAGGGAAACACAATTACAGAAGTATCAGTATTGGGGCTGAAGAGCTTTCCCCTGTTCTGTAATATTTATCATTCTGCAAAATGTCATTTTATTGAGTCCAAGCTCTGGAATAACTGGTGCTGAGCTGAGTTTATAATGATGTGCCTTGTGAGAAGAAAGCCAAATGCTGAGCCTCTTGTTCTTTGTGCAATCTTTTGTTTTATTCAGGTTGGTCTGCACTGGCACATATTAATACGTGATTGAGGGCCACCAGTTTATAATTGTCATCTTCACACAAGCTTGAGTTCAAACCTTGCGTAGTAAAGGTGAACCCTGGCTAGTAGCTGATAAAGACTTTTTTTTGCCAGTTATAGGTGAATAATGGGGCATTTTACATGTTGCAGCCAATTTCATATAAATTATCAAGTTATTCTATGAATGTTGGTTTTGAGGGAAATTTCAGTATTATTAATGAATGGTGCAATTTCAGTGAGCTATTTTTCCTGATGAAGTCAAGATTCCTCCCACTCTTATGCTTTTTCACTAACTCATTCCCTCTACTTAAAGGGTATTGGAATCAAGAAAGATGATCCACTGCCATAACTGAGATCAGTTAATTTAGCATAGACTAAGAATTTTATATTGCTTAGCACTACATGAGGCAGTGTCTACGCTTGTTAGGAAATAATTAGAGCTTGCAGAATTTTTCTGTAAATTCATCTATTTCCACAGGTACTTGTGATGTGTCAGTTCCCAGCCAGCCTTTGGGTGGAGAAACATCACATCACAACTCATTTTGAGCCATTGCTGAACATCGGTGGTCATAAAATAAGTCTGCAATCTGCATTATTTCAGGAAAATAATCTGTTTAATTTCACAGGGAAACCTTACAAAGTTCCTGTAGAAGGAATTAAATCCTCCATCCCATCTGACAAACCACTAATGGGACTTCACACCAAGAAAAACTTTGTTCAAGCCAACATAGTTGACGTTCAGATGTCAGTCCCCAAGAAACCTGTGCCAATAATTGTTGATACTAGAAAAGGAAATAAAATCTTTTTGGAACCATCAGGGCTTCTTCCAACTCAACTCTACAGAAAGGTAGATACCAGTATTTGTGTGTTAATACATTAGAATGAATATTTGCTGTGTTTTTTTTAACCTTTCTTGTATAAGCTTTTAAATCCTTCACCTCAATGACTCTTTTTACATACTTCTCACTTACCAAATATTTTCCATCCCTGGCACAAAAGTCTCTCTTTCAAATATTCAATTTATCTTATCATAGAATCCCTAAAGTGTGGAAGTAGGCCATTCTGCCGATCGACTCCATACTGACCCTCTGAAGAGCACCCCACCCAGACCTAAACACCCTACCCTGTCCTTGTAACCCTGCATCTCCTGTGGCTAATGCACCTAACCTGCACATCCTTGGACACTGTGGGCAATTTAGCATGGCCAATTCACCTAACCTGCACATCTTTTGAACTGCGGGAGGAAACCGGAACACTTGGAGCAAACCCACGCAGATATAGGGAGAATGTGCAAACTCCACCCACACCCAGTCACCTACGGGTGGAATTGAACCAGGGTCTCTGGCGCTATGAGACAGCAGTGCTGATCACTGAACCTCCTCTATCTACCACCCCATGTCACCACACAGTTTAAAATATTTCACATTATCATGTTGAGAAATAATTTCCCTTAAAAGTCAGATTACTTTTCAGAAAGATCATGCTGGAAATTGCCACTGTGTTAAAGCACAAATACTTAAGATCTGCTTGTTATTACAGAGACAGGCTACAGAATTTTATGGACTGAATTAGCTTTATTGTCACGTGCACTCAAATGAGTACAGTGAAAAGTTTGTAATGTTGCCACTTTGATACCTTCTTAGGTACAGAGTACCTAGGTACAAATACTTAAGCATGTGTTACAGACTTCAAAGAATAACAAATAAAATTCAGCATAAGAATAAAGAATTTTTTTAAAAGTACTTGAATTTTAGTCATTTCACCAAGTCAGTTCCAGCACCGAGCTCCAAACCGCCCGGGCCAAGTCTCTAGACCATGCTGGGCTTTGGACTTCAAGGCCTCACTTCCTGTCCACAGAGGCCTTGCCTTCTCACCGGGAATTGCTGTTCCCGAACCGGCCTGAGACCCGAATCTTGAAGTTGCAGGAAATTTAGGCAGGAAATTAAGCTAGGAAAAATGTAGAGGGGTGGCTTTGCTAGTGAATAATTAGCAGAATAGAAAGGGATGACCTAATTTCATGAAACCAGGATTTCAAAATTATTTCGATAGAGATGAAAAATGATAAAGGCAAGAAGTCATTTCTGGGAGTGATGCACAGCCCCCTTACTTGGTAGGGTGGAGCATAAAGGAAGAAATAATGAAAGATTTTCAGAATGGCAGGCAATAATCATGAGGAACACAGGTAGCCTAAAAAAGAAGTTCATAGCCTATTTTCAGATAGTTTCTTAGAACGGAATATTCTGAAGCCAACCAAAGAGCATGCTACGACATCTGATACAAAAACTGAAACTATTGGAAAAACTCAGCAGGCCTGGCACATCTGTAGAGAGAAAGCAGAGTTAATGTTTCGGGCTCAATGATCCTTCTTCAGAACTGATAGTAGCGAGGAAAGATTGGTACATGCTGAAGATGGAGAAGGAGTGAGAAGTAAATGATTGGTGGAGATGAGGCACTGAGAGAGAACACTATTTGGGCAGGCAAAGACTGGCTAATAGTCAGCCTTGGAGAATCAACGGCTTTTAATGGGGTCCATTAGTTCTGACAATGGATAGTATGTGGTAGCAGCCCATATGATGACAAGGCCTGGTGTGTGGGGTGGGGTAAGGTCTTGGGAGAAGGTGCTTAGGCCCTAAAATTATTGAACTTGATGTTAAGTCTTGAAGGCTGTAAGGTTCCCAAGAGGAAAGTGCGGTGCTGTTCTTCTAGCTTGCGCTGAGCTTCGCTAAAGTGCTGAAGCACTGAAGCAAGCCCTAGATTGAGATGTTGGTCAGGGAATATGGTGATCTATTAAAGTGGCAGGCAACTGACAGCTCAGAGTCATTTCTGCAGTCAGAAAGTAGGTGTTCTGCAAAGCGGGCACCCAAAAGCGGTCTGCGATTTTGTCCCCGGTGTAGAGGAGAGCACATTGTGATCAGCGATTACAGTAGACTAGATTGAGTGAAGTGCAGATAAATTGCTGCTTCATCTGGAGCCTTATATAGTGAGGAGGGAGGAAGTAAATGGTGCTGTTGTTACACCTTCTTACGATAGTTTGGCAAGGTACTATGGGGGTATGGGGAGGCATTGAAAGTAGAGGAGGAGTGAACCAGTGTGTCCTGGAGTGAATGGTCGCTGCGGAAGCTGAGAAGGGAGGGGAGGGGAAAGGAAAGGAATATGTGTCTGGTGATGGAGGTGGCAGAAATGGTGGCTAATGATCTTTTGCATGTGGATGCTGGTGGAGTGTTAGCGAAGACACGAGGAATCCCATTGGCGTTATAAGGAGGCGGGAGTCCTTATCCTAACCCTACCCACCAGGTTTTGTCATCACATGGGCTGCTACCACAACCAACCAATATCAGCTATTAATGGCCCCTATTAGCAGCTGTTGATTCTCCAGGCTGACCATTATCCATTCCTTTGTCTGCCCAACTCCTGTTCTCTCTCTTGGCTTCATTTCCACCTACTCCTTCGCCCACCCCATCTTAAGCACACATACCAACCTTTTTTCCTAGCTACAAACAGTTCTGATGAAGGGTCACTGGACCCAAAACATTAACTCTGCTTTCTCTCCATGGATTTCTGTAGAAGCAATATTTCTGAAGAAATTGAGATTGTTGAAATTACACACCTATCCATTTTGCAGGTTTGCATCCTGTCAGCACTATTGCACATACAAGTGGAACAGGACTAAAGTAATACAAATGGTTACTAATGTAAGGTCCTTCTCGTTGCTGTCCAGTACCAGAGATTATCCTGTAAAGCCGCAAAAGATATGTACGTTATTGATGCCTCTGTAAGTGTGCTATCTTATCGTTTCTGAATGTCTAATTAGAGGTGCAGGGCACTGCATCTTAGAACCACAGCTGGGCAGTCCTCACCATCAAGCAGAGGTAAATGAGTTCTGAGAGTGACTGTGAGGAACTGCCCATTCTGCCATATTAACAGCTATCCTTAGTCCATACCTGTTGGTGAAGCAGATGCCCAATTCAGTAGGGAAAAGTTGCAGAAATCTTGGGACAGCATGAATTGGATAGGGAAAATGGAGGGGGAAAATGCAAGGGAAAATGGATAACTGCAATTTTATGTAGGAAATTCAGCTGGACAGTAAAGCAAAGAGTACATACTCTTAGTTGATATTGGTGCACCATGCTGATTCTATAGTAAAACAAATCATCAACAAGCAGCAGGATTAAGACAGAGGCTTTTTTCTCTATCTCTTTTGTTCAGACTGACAGCTTAATATATAAAGATGATTAAGACAAACGTATTATTGTGGGTACCCATTATACTAAGATTCCCACACTTTACAAGTCCGGGATTCCTATTGGAAAGGCTACACAATGATTTTTTAATGTAACTTTTTTTATACTTTATATAAAAAAATATTTTTTACAAATATATATTTATATAACACAAAGTCACAAACACAGTCTGTTCTGTACAGCAGCATATCAATGAGACAAACAAACATTAGAATTTGACTTTATCCAAACAAACCAAAGGCATTTCTTACTTGAACAAGATTATATTTACATGCACTTGAGGTACCAGGAGGGTCTGACAACTGAACAGACCTCCATTTAACTTCAGAAGGAAAATCTCAGATAGTGGTCTTTTCCCACTGTGCCTTGGCAGCAGATGTCCTAAACTTTAGTGTGGCCCTCAGCGCATAGTCCTGGACCTTAAAACATGCTAGTCTGCAACACTTGGTCAAGGTCAACTCCTTGTTCTGCAAGTCCAACAAGTTTTGGGCAGATCAAAAAGCATCTTTCAACAAGTTGATGGTCCTTCGGGCGCAGTAGATGTTTGTCCTGGTGTGCATCCTGCGGAACAGACCGTAGAACACTGAGTCCTATGTATGGGACAAACCTCGACAAAAACCACTGCATCTTTTTCCAGACAACCAAAGGCTTCCACAGATTGTCTATGTTTGGTCAGATTACCCGAAGTGATATTGAACTCTAATACCTTAAGGTACAAATTACACATTATTCACCTAAATTAGAAGTTAAGAGAAGCTCATGAAAAAACAGCTATATGAATTAAGAGCTTTAAGAAATTTTTTTGAAAGACTAATTTATTTAAATCAACATACAAGTTAAAAAATGTAAATTGGCCTCCAAATGTTACTTCGGTAGAATTAGTTTTCAAAGGATCGAGTAAATTTAGGTAATACAAAGTGCTAAGAACAGTACAGCAGAGGAACAGACCCTTCGGCCCACCAAGCCTGTGCCGACACATGATGCCTTTCTAAACCAAAAATTTTTTTCCTCTACATGGTCTGTGTTCCTCTATTTCCTGCCTATTCATGCATCTGTCAAGGTATCTCTTAAAAGTTGCTATTGAATCTGCTTCTATCACCTATCTGGTGGTGCATTCCAGCAGTTACCACCTGCTGTGTTTAAAAATAAACTCGCCCTGGAAAAAGACTCCGACTATATTCTTTCTATATCTCTCGTAATTTTGTAAATTTCTATCAGGTTGCCCCTCAGTCTCCAACATTCAAATGAAAACAAACCAAATTTGTCCAATCTCTCCGCAAAGCTAATACCCTCCAAATATTCTGGTAAACCTTTTCTATATCTTTTCCAAAGCCTCCATGTGCTTCTGATATTGTGGTGACCAGATGTACACAATATTCCAAATGTGGCCCAACTAAAATTCTATATAGCTGCAACATTACTTGCCAGTTTTTATATTCTACATCCCGACCAATGAAGGCAAGCATACCATAAGCCTTCTTGACCACCTTGTCCATTTGTGTTGCCACTTTCAGGGAACTGTGGACCTGGATGCCTAGATCCCTCTGTATGTTAATGATTCTATAGGTTCTGCCATTTACTGTATACTTCGCTCCTCTATTAGACC